CAGGCAACATGGCGGACCACGATTAAAGTCTAGGAACAACCCCAAGATGGGCCGCCAAAATGAAGGGCCGCTGGTCGAGCCCTGGAACCAAAGATGAAGACTCAGCCAAACGCGGGATCCCATGTGCCAAAAAGATAGCGACCCTTCCCACAGCTTCTCCACGTGGCCTGAAAGCAGGTCCCACCCCCAACGCAACTACAGCAGAGTCCATGCTGGGAGTGATTACAGCCTCATCGGCTGCCAGTCACTCCGAACCACGGCCCGGCTGACATGCAACCTTAACCTCCACACCATCCATCCAGACTGGTTCCACGCGTTCCGCTTGCACCAATCAGCAGACGAGAGATGGGTTCCTCCGTCAGCTACTCTGAGCCCCAGGATTTCACAAACGAGGCCCTGCCTCTGCTTCAGAGCTGACCACCGGGGTTAAAGGTTTAAATGCAAACGGCACGGGGCAAGCATGAAACAGCTCCTTGAAAACACAGTAGCTGCACTGGCCACGGGAACAGCTGTTGGGCGTCGGGACGCTGCTTACCTCTGTGGACTCTGCTGGCTGACAATGGCATTGGCCGTCTCCCTGAGGTACACCTCCCAGTCTGTCTCAGGGATCTCCTGGTCTGCAGTGAAGGGATACCTACACGGCGAGAGAACCGTCGGTCACTGAGGCGGTGTGGGAGGGCCCCCAGCGCCCGGGTGGCTGGCCCTCACTCACTGCTGCACTCGGCACGCCTCGCACATCAGGAGGGCTTTCCGGAGATTCCGCGAGGACTTCTCCGCCAGCCTGCGTGCCAGCTGCGCGGGCAGAGTCAGGCCCTCCTTCTTGCACACAGTGGATAAGACATGGCAGATCTGCAAGTCAGAGGCAAACAGGGGGACACGCTCCTTAAAGCACACGAGGAAGACTGCTGCCGCCGCCAGCACCCTACAGATCGTCACCACAAGTCCCCCTATCTTTACCAGGGACTCTTCATACAAAGGCCCTCTGCTGCTGGCTGACAGCGAGTCTCTTCCGAGTCACAGGGACCCATGTGACAGATCGGAGCCGCCCGTAGCGTCTCCCAGGCTGCCATCTTTATCGGAGCAGGTCACCGGGGCTTCCTCCCACAGAGCCCGTGGGTGGGGCTGAGCTGCCAACCTCCTGGTCAGCAGTGCAGCCCTTACCCGCTGTGCCACCGGGGCTCCTTAAAGACCTTTAACCCATCACCATCAACCGACCGTTAACAAGTCCATTCAAACGCACAGCGACCCCACGTGACCCAGTGCAACTGTCCCACAGGGTTTACTCGCATGTCATCTTCACAGAAACAGGCCTCCAGGGCTTTCTTCTGCAGTGTCCCTGGGGAGGTGTGAACCGCCAGCCTTTGGGGTAGGAGCCAACTGCAAACTGCTCACGCCAACAGGTAACAGCCCAGCTTATAGACTGCGACAGACTAGGAAGAAGGAAGAGGCCGTCCACTTCTCTCTAGAACCCGAGACTCCTTCTAGAGTCAACTCAACCAGCTTGACTCGGAAGACACTATGGAACTGGCCCACAGCTAGCTTAGCAAAGTTACTAATACTCACTTCTTTAAAACAAAACGTGGTTTTAAAAAAGAACTTTTCATATACTGGCACCTGGGGGGTGTGTGGGGGGGATATGTGTGTGTGTGTGTGTGTGTGTGTGTGTGTGTCTGTCTGTCTGTCTGTCTACAGGCTTGGGAGGCCGTGGATGGTACCAACAGTTAAATGATCAACTACTAACCAAAAGGCTGGCAGTTCGAACCCACCTGGACGTACCTCGGAAAGAAAGACCTGCTGATCCCATCACGTAAAGACTGCAGCCTAGCAGAAGCTATGGGGCCGTTCTACTCTGCGGCACGCAGGGTGGCCGTGAGTTGGAGCTGGGAGTGGCTACCGACCATGGTCGTTCACGTATGTACTAGCGGTGAGTGTCCAGGCTCACAGCCGGCCCCAAGGGGCTGCCGCGTCCCACAGCGCGTCGTGACAAAACAAGCTCAGCGGCCCACACGGCCCCCGGGCAGGACCTGTGCTGCCAGGTCTGCGGGGACTCACTTCGTCAACGCTGGGGGCAGGCACACGGACGGCCAGGCAGCGGCTCCGGATGGGAGCGATCACCTTGGAGGTGGAGTTACAGCAGAGGATCAGCCTGCAGGTGGACATGTACTTCTCCATGGTTCGGCGCAAGGCGTGCTGAGCGTCCCTGGTGAGCTTGTCCACCTCGGTCAGCAGCACCACTGCGAACCAGACAAACACAACCGGCCTCCACTTGCGGGTTCTGCTCCTCCTCTCTGACCTCACCACCCCCAGACTGAAACTGGGAAGAATAAGCCTGGCCTATTGCATGACTCTTCCCTTTTGCGAACAACAGATTAAAGCAGAAGGCTGGGTAGTTTATTTCAGTTGTATTTCACACTGCCATCATCACCCAGGCCTAAGACCACCACCTGTTACTAACTGCCAGATTGATTCTGACCCACAGTTTACCCTTCCCGCTCCATACCCTCACACCCCCATCACTGACCGTGGGAGGGTCTGCCTCGAGAGGAAGTCTCTGTGACGTACCTTTGAAGTCCCGCTGAGAGTTGGTCTCCAGCTGCTGGGACTGAGCCACCGTCTTCAGCATCTCCTGAATCACCACCCGGTCACTGCTGCCAGCATCACTGCACAGGAGACACAACGGGGACCGTTCCACACGCACACACGGCCATGGTCAGGAAAACGAAGAGGATGGTGGTTCGTAATTTCAGGAACTCCTAATTATGTTCAATAGAAACCCTGGTGCTGCAGTGGTTAAGGTGCTCAGTTGCCAAAAAAAAA